GTCTATTACAGTATCATTGGTAATGGAGTTTAAGCCTTATTACAGTAGATGACACAATTCAGGCAGAAGCTTATTCATATTAAAGTCACAAGGGCAGGACTTAGCCAAGTACATTTTAGCCTAGTATATTGTGCAATTTTGTGGCTGAACATGCTTTGTGCATCATATCCAGAAAGGGCTAAAAGTACAAGAATTTTAGCAACTTGTGTGACCAGCAATTAAATCTGTGGTTCACAGCAGTTCATCCATAGAATAATTGGTACAGAGAAAGAAATGTTGAGGAAATCTGTTTGCGGTCCTGACAGTTTACTATATCCTAGAGAGGAGCATTAAAGTCTGGGGATATGTATGGTAAACTTAAAATATTCTTTACATCCTCTATATGATCACAGATTACCCAGATTCTGGGACAGAAGGCAGATTCAGTCACAAATGTACAGAGGGAATGGTTTCAGAGGAAAAAAAGAGAGCATTTTATGTAAGTTTCAAGTAACAAATGGCTCATATTTTAGTCCAGTTTTAGTACAGAAACTGAGTAAACATTAAAGGGCGAGATGATCCTCTTTGGCTTTATTCCCAAAATGTACCAATTCATAGTTGTTTATCATAGTTGATTCAGTGCACTCAGTTTGCTCAATTTAATGGCAGATTGGACCCTAAAATATGAACTGGACTAAGAAGTACAGAGTTTAATTAGATTTATCTCTTTTTTTTTTCTTCAGGAGTTCAAAGCATCTTACACAGGGTTGCCCTTCCATCTTATCTTTACAACAGTCCTGTGCTGTAGATTGGAGTAAAAGTCAACTGTGAGTTTCCATGACTGAGCATGAATTTGAAAATGGATCCCCTGCATGTTAAATGTTGCACAGTATCGGTGAACTAGTCCAGCCCACATGGGTAGTTCAATGTGGTATGGAAACCCAGAATGCTGGTTTGATTCCAAAATATGGTTAACCCTGGGGAAATGTATACTACAAACAGAATATAAACTGCATATTTAAATGTTCCTTCATGCATAAAAATCCCTAGGGAAGGCAGTTGATGAAATAAGCTACAAAGGATTCAGCTATATTTTGAAACATTTTCCATTTTTTTCCATTTGTTAATTGTGCAGTTTGACAATCTTTGTAAATGAAAACATATGCTCTAGTGTAAGCATTGGCTTATTATGTTAAATATACTGCTCCTTATTTAAAAACCAAATGTACCTTTATTTTTAATTCATGGTTATGTTTTAACAGTTCATTAAAAAACCCACCAAACCATATTTCACCCTGGTGGCTTGCAGAAATCCAACCTAATCCATTTAGTTAGTTTATGGTTCACTAGGTCCTGCAAACACAGATTGCATAAACCATGGTTAAGCAAACAGTAGGTAAATTATCATGCAAACACAGCCCATCTATTGTGTTCTAGGAATCCAGGAAGACGGTGTCAATCCATTATTGCACAAGTTCATCATCGAAACATTGTCTACTATAATGGAACCATTTTTGTTGATTTTTTGTGACATTCTCTGGTAACCATACCAGTACTTAGCAGCCCATTAAATGTGCTCACATTTACCTGACTTGTTTGAAAAAGAAATATTGTACTTTTAAAAAACACAGCTCATTTCCAATTAAGGATTTGTTTTAAGTATTAAATGTAATTGATGAGGGAGATGGAAAACTATTTGATCAGCGATATATTCAGTGCCTATTCACAGTAGAATTCAATTTGAAAACTGAGTTTGTGGCTATGTAAGAGGTTTTCCCCCCACCCCAATTGGTCTGCAGTGCATATTCTAAGCTTCATCAAAGCTGCCACAATACTTAACAGTTCGCCTACTGACCTACTATTTCACATCTGCTTGAAAGGGGGTTATATAAAAGACAAAAGGGCCAGATGACACCTTGCAAAGAGACTCACACCAAGAAAAATACTGTTCCTAGTGTGCATTTGTGTTCCTAGTCTCTGCCCAGTTTTTGTAATTAGGTCTTCTGCAATTGGTTATGGGCTACTAGAAAAGGGAAACAAGTTTAACATGCTTGTTATTTTGGCAATGAACCAAGTTAAGAACATCTATAGTTTTTCAAAGATTGGAATGGAAGATAAGCCTGATCTAAGTCCTCAGTTATAAAATCCATTTGGAAGCTCTGGAAGTACCCCAATCAGAACTGAAGGGATGTGAAGACAGGAATTTCACATTGCAAGGTCACATTGATAGGACAGAATGGTTAATGGGACCTTTTAAAGCACATTCCTCACAGCTGCATTTCCCCTCTAATGGCCTTCTCTGAGCAAAAGCTCATCACCCATTCTAGTCTTTTGGCCTTTCACTGAAAATGCTATTAACATTTCTTTAATACATGCCTATTCCTAGAAAGCATGCAACCATAGAACACATCCAAAGATGCACAAAGAGATGAAGCTTCAGCTGGCGGGGAGGGGAGGGGAAAAGGACACATTTCTGTATTAACAGCTCTGCATATAGGAGACCCATCGTTGTAAAATATTTTCATTTGACAGGGCAAAAATGCACAGCCAGAAAGTCTAAAATAATGACAATAGAAGCAGGGTTTTAGGGTTCAGTTCCAGCTGATTTTATTTCCTTCAGGGAAAAGGTTATTTACAGAAAAAATATTGACAATCTGACAGGCAGTGAACTTGGCTTTTATTAGCCAGCTTTTCCTCCCCTCCCCACCCCAACATTGTATTATGGGCAGATCCTTAGACAAAGATATTCCACACAGCATATTGCACAGGATGGATGAACAAAAAACTAAAAAGAAAACCAAAGATAAAAAACCCTTAACGGAACCTCTTCATTAGGCAGATATGCTCATGCCTGTCATGTTATATTAACATACATAAACACACAATCTTTTTTGCTTATTATTATACAGACTTAAATGTACAAAGATGTTTTCACTTTTTCTCATCTTAAACACAACAGCTATAAACCTGAATACATATGCTATCATCATGCCATAAGAGACTAAAACAATTATACTTAGCGACAAGTATAAGGATTAAATAGTCAAATACAAGAATGAAAAATGCAGTACATAGTGTTGCGAACTCAAATCGGCATTTAGATAGGTCCAGTGATTTAAATGGCATGTTTTTATTTACTTTGTTTTTGCTTACAAAAAGTGCAAAAGATGTGGTTTTGAAGTTAAAGCTACAGGATCCCTTTTTCCTGAAAAATATTCTTGTTTTCTCTGTACAATGTAATGTTCATTGAGGGAGGATTTGTTAGAAATTAGCCCTACAGTGGATTAGAGTTCAATCCCTCTCTCAACTCACAAATAGAGTTGAATGGTAGACAGAACAGATACTGTCTCTTTAAGAAGCCTGCAGATTGGAGTGTAAACATGATGAAAGTAGGGACTGATTTTGTGTGAGAGAGATTAACCAGCAGCCCTATTTATAATCAGGAAATCCAAAACAGCAATTTACACCCCTTATATATTTTTTACAAAAATACACTGAGAAAATAATCAAACGTTTTCATCTTCTCTTCTGTTTTTAAAAGTGTCAAAAGTCTACATTTAAATATAAAAATTAAAAGTTAAAACTCTAGCCCTTCAGTGAAGGTGACATAAAAATGGTGTGGGTAACAAACAGAACTACCAAAAAAAGGACAAAGGAATACAAGTAAAAAACATTTGGCCAGTATAAATACTTCACTTATAAAATGGCATCCAATTCCATTTAGAAAGAAAAAAAAATTCAAGAATGAATCCTGGTGTGAAAAAAGTCTTCATTTACAGCTACAGAGGAACACACACACATACACACATACACACACACACACACACTGAGGAAAAATTTGGTCCTGTGTTCTTTTTGAAGTCCAGCACAGATTTGAGTTGCGTTTGAATCCTTTAAAGAGTTAAGAGTGAAAAAAAGCTGGTGATAATTTTTGAAGGAATCAAACATAGCGCCATCTATCTGCTTTTTATATTATTCTAACACTATTTTTAAACTGTTCAACAGTCTTACAAAAAAACTCCAAAAGATAGGATAACATGCTATATTAAACCCCACCAGAGAAATAATCCAACACCATCACGATTCTGAGTAATAAAAACACATTTTTGCAAGAAAGAGCAAACGCCCTCAATTTCCCCTGTACCACATTATTACAGTTGGTATGTTCTATGTCTGTCTCCATTTAAAAAAAGTTATGTGTTGCTGAAATTCCACATATGATTTCTATGAATATAAGGTAAATCCGGCGAGGAAAATCATCTCCACTTTCTCCCACATACGTGCAAATCCTTTTCGGTGTTATTGTTTTCAGCCGAATTTCCAGTTCATTTTCAAATGCTTGTCTCTCCTTTTCATTCCCATTTAGGATTCAGTCCAGTTTCCAGGGCCATCCTCTTTCTCCATCCCTTTTTGATGTATAAAAAAAAAGAGAACCTTCCAAAAATGCAAACTGACTGCAGGTCTGCATTTTTGTTTTAAAGCAGACTAGCTTTCCGCTCCTAACCCAAAGACATATCTAATACACACATAGCAGAATCTACCTTCCTCCCTCCCTCCAACCCTTTCCAACGACAAGCAAAGATACGCTCGATTTCCACCCCCCTCCTGCTGTAGTTGCCATTCCTGGTTAAGCCACTAGATTCTCACCAGAGTCTGAAACGTGCTTCTCATTCTTCGGCTGCAAAAGAAGGATGAAACGTGAACAGAAAAGGGGGGTGGGGATCGATTTAGTCCCGTGTTATTTCTGTGGTAGCTTTTTCGGTGAAGAATGTGTTGATCCCTTTTGCCGCGTTAGCGCCAAAAAAAATAATAAAAGCAACCACCACGCGCGTACACACCCCCTCAAGTCAGTTTCAGTAACGGGGGCGGAGGACCATACTCAACGGTGGGGTGAAATGCTCGCTCTCCAGTTTTGCAGCGCGCCTGGGATTGAGCGCCATGTCCGCGTCTTTTTCCTTCCCCCGCGCGCGCCGTTTGCTCTCCTCTTAATCCTTCGTTCCTCCCCCCCCCCCCGCCCCAACTCAGTACGTAAATACCAAGTTGGAAATGCTGGATTCGAGCCAGTCTCCCGAGATCATCTCACTTACCTCCGGGGTACAATAGTCTGGGAACTCAAAGTGAGAGCCCGAGCCAGGCTCCAAGTTAAAATCCAGATCCCTGTCAAGGACCGAGGAGCTGAGACTCCCCATCGCCATGCTGTCGAAGCCCGGGCTGGGGTTGAGGTCCAACAGGTCGTCTTCGAACTCGTCGTCCGAGGAGGAGGAAGCGCAGGAGGCGGAGGAGGAAGCCGACGAAGAGTGCGAGGTCGAAGGGGTCGGCGACGGCGCCCGCAGGCTGGTGTAGCTTCGGTGGTCCGAGGGGGAGCAACCGCCCACGGGGGAAGACGAGGGCTCGCCCCCGTCCTGCCGGACGCCCACCGCCGCTACTTCATCGTAGAGGCTCAGCGGGTCGCTGGCTTCCGTGGAAGTGCTGAGGGTCGGGCTGGCCGGAACGGCGCCGCCGGGCGACGAGTGGGAGAAGAGGTAGAGCCGCTTGGCCTTCTTCTCGGGGAGATGTCGGCTACTGTGGCTGCTGCTGCTGCTGCTGCTGCTGGAGGGCGAGGAGGAGCCCGGAGAGGCGGCGCGGGATTTGTATAGAGAATGGTGCTCTGGGGGCAGGAGGGCAGCCGGCTGTTCCGATGGAAAAGAGGACGGAGCTTTTGGGCCGCCGCCGCCGCCGCTCGGGCTGAGTTTGGGATGCGGCTTGCCGGCGCCACTGGGAGAGAGTTTGGCGGCACTGCCCTTTTTCTGGGCAAGCTTGGAAGAGTTGGAACCAGCAGCGGAGGCGGCTGCTCCCTGATTGCCGCCGCCGCCGCCGCCACTCCCTCCACCCCCGCTCTTCTCACCCGGCTTCCCAGAGTTCGTGCCCGACTTCACCTTCTTCCTGGGTCGGTACTTGTAATCGGGGTAGTCCGCCATGTGCTTGAGGCGCAGCCGCTCCGCCTCCCGGATGAAAGGGATCTTGTCGCTGTCCTTGAGCAGCTTCCAACGCTTGCCCAGGCGCTTGGAGATCTCAGCGTTGTGCATGTCCGGGGACTGCTCCATGATCTTCCTCCTCTCGATCTGAGACCAGACCATGAAGGCGTTCATGGGCCGCTTGATATGCCCGCTGGGCGTCTTGCACCAGCTCGGATCGTCCGCTTTGCCCCCCGTCGAAGCAGTCGAGCCCGGAGTGGGAGAAGAGGCGATGCCCAGCTCGATGCTGGCCCCGGAGTCCGAGCTCTCGCCGGCCAGGAGGGCTTCCGTGTTCTCCGCGTTGTTCGTCTGTTGCACCATTTTGGGGGTTGGTGCGCGCCGCAGCGGCTGCGGGGAAGTCGGTGGGGCTCAGCTTGGCCACCCGCTTGAAACAAGACCCTCAACTTTGCCGGTCAGTCGGAGCTCTCAAGCCCCCTTTCGCGAGCGCTTCGTCCCCCGTTACTTAAGGCACGACTCCCTCCGGGAAGTAGTTGTAGCTCCACACCGCGCTTGCCTCTCCAACACTTGCGCACGCCTCTCACCGCAACTTTGCACTGCGAGTTTAAGAGCAGACTCCCGGCTCTAAGTGGAAAGAGTGCCTTTCTTTAAAAAAAGAAATGAAAAAAAAAAAACAGCCGCCAATCTTAGTTTTCTCTCTCTCTCTTTTCCACCTCTTTCCCCACCCTGGCGTTCACAAGTGGTTTTTTTTTTTCTTTTCTGTCTTTCACCCTTCTAATACTGTACTCGAGGTGTCTCGGCAGAAGCAGCACGCCCACTGCTAAAAATCTTGAGGATACATACAAAAATACCCACTAAGAAAAAAAAAGAAAGAAAATGCCCACGTCGCCAAGCGAAACCAGTAATAAAAAAAAATCTTCGTCCAGAACTCGTAATTAGAGGGATCAAGAGTTTTTTCTATGATTATTTAGCGGCTGCCAGGGAGTTAGCTGGGGGTAAAAAGCCCCAATCATGCAACCTAGTAGCATTAATAATCGTGTGTCTTCCCAATAGGAAAAACAGTGACTGGTGCAGTAAATGTATAGAGTCCCGTCTTGCTCGCCTGTAGATGCACAGCCCCCCAAAAAGGAAAGAGACATGTACAAACCGGGACTACAGACTTGGCCTCTCCCCCCCCCGCCCTACTACATACACTTTCCCTTGCTGCAGCTTAGAGCGGCGCTCAATTCCGCCTCGTGGAGCTTTATCCTTCCTCAGCTCTTTTCTAAGCCAATCACAGGCTGTATCCAACGCTCCGTCGTGCCAAAACCCCGCCCTTCCGTTCCGATTGGCTTGGAACCCAATAACCGTGTGCAATGAGAAGCTCCACATCTGACCTCATTCCAATTTACACAAACTTTTTAAAAGGGCCAGAAGTGCAACTGAGATTTCTCTCCTCTTTCCCCCCCCCGCTCCCCCGGTTTTTACGTTTGCATTTCTCCTCCTACTTCCCTGCGTGTGCGCCTGCGTGTGTATTTGTGGTTGTGTGCGTGCGCGCGAGAGACAGCACGCTAGACACAGACCTAGTATGAGGAGAGTGACTGAGCGTGTAAAGGGGGGGGGGAGAGAGAGAGAGAGAGAGAGCAGCCACGCGCCTGTGCGAAACTCTACTCCAGAAAGGGGTGGGGAAGAGACATCTCTGCCCGCTATGTTAGAGGGGGGATGGAGAAAGGACGCATTCTGTGCAGGAAGCTTCAGTATCTGCATAAAAGTAAAAGTGACTACTTGCCTTCCCTCGCCAAGGGAAAAAAAAAAAAAAAGACACGTGCTTTTGTTTTATCTCATTCTGAGACTTGATGAAGAAACACACCATTCGCCGCCCATACCATTAGTATCCTCACCCTGCTGTGCAGTATTTCTCTGACATTTTTTCCCCTAAAGATCCATGCGAGCGGGGCATGTTTTTTTCCAATTAAAAGATTTTGACTTGTATTATATCTAATTCAATCTACAAACCAGCATTTACACTGTAGAATACCTCTACCTGCTTCTTTGCAGGATTGTTCTTCAAACACCGCAGCTTCCTGGCTAGTTCCTCCTGGTCTGCCTGATAAATGTTGTCAATCGGCTGAAGCTCTTAACCTTCCCCCGTCCCCCCCCCCCTCCGCCCCAGAAGGGCTAGAATCTAGATGGATTAGATTGTACAAGGGGCAGTCTTGTATTTCACAAATTACAGTATGGAGAGCAGTCCCTTCTCCTGTCCCTTTGCTCCCTCCCCCATCATCATCTTGGGGAAGGCAAAAACCCCTGGGAAAAGTCTGATCCAGCAGACTTGTAAACAGAACAAAGATTGGTTTACAGGGCAAATAATGCAGTTAGTATCATATACTTTCCTGCGTTTCTCACTGCTGTTCAAATATGTTACATCTTAACTTTCTAGTTCCCCTGTATATTCCCTGATCCATATTAATTCCATGTGAATCAAACAGGCTTAGTACTCATTAAATCAATGTATGGGATGAATTATGTGCTAAAAGACCATTATCCCTTTCGTCTATTAGTATTGACAGCAACTGTGGCCCTTGAAGACTTTTTACCTCAAAATGCCAAGATGAAACTGATGCTTCAATATGTGTATCTAGGTGTGTGTCTAAAGTACAAGCCCTTCACAATAAAGTTATGTATGTATATGTATGTATGTATATCTATGTATGTATGTTTGTCTGTGTGTGTGTGTAAACAAATCTGAAGAATGAAAAGTTGTGATCAAAAGATAAGGAGGCAACAGCACACCTGACTTTCCATAATTGTAACTAAACTGTAAACGTATGATTATAAGCCGCCTAGAGTTGCCGCCTAGAGTTATTATCTAATAATAGATAAATAAACTGGAGGAATGGAATGGGATATCTTAGCAAGGATAACCTGCCCCTCTCTTTATAGTGGTTTGGTCCACTATATTCAGAACCCACCTGAATTAGGTGGCATCACAGCAGCTGAAAGTTAGGTGTCCAAAGCCCTTGAATCACTGGACTGATGAAAAATCTCTCCCTCCTTTTCTTTTCATCCTAAGTAATTAGAGATAATTATTTAGCTATTTATAAAGAGAAACAGAAAAGGCAATAAATACTGCTTTTTCCATATGTTTGGTCCGCTAGTGGGTCATCCTTGGCCTATTTCACTTTTGGACTACTTTACTATAAAACCATTATAGATGTGTTGTAGATAATGACTGGCCAGCCCAACAAAAGTTCAGATAGGCTGCCAATAATGTCAACTTCACACTGCTAATAAGCAGAATTCCAATTGCTATTTATGTCAGTTTAAGCAAATATATGAAACCATGGAGCCAGAGTGTTGAGGAGACACAAACTGCTCCCAAGTCACAAAGCAGGCAGAAAATAATTTGCAGAAATGTTGATTTTTCATTTTACCAAACATTTTGTCTGAACCAAATGATATAAAACAGCAATACATTGTCTGAAGAGAAGCATTGTAAGAGACTGACCGCACCGGATAGTAGTATCACATGTCTAAAAACTCCTTTCTCAATCCCGTCGCCCCCACCCAAGAGGCCTACTGACTATCAATGGAAATAATTCTGAACTAGATGTGCAGGGATCTTATTTAATAGAAGACTATTGCCTATGTTCTGCTCCTAATAAACTGCATCTAAGTAATTAATGTATGTTAAATAGAATTGCTACTGTCTTACAAAACTAATTTAAACTATCTGTTCAGTCTCATAAAAGTAATCATATTTTTATAAAATTATAATAAAGTAAAAGGATTATAATTAAGGGAATCCCAGGCCATCTTCCAAGACCTTAATCATACAATCAGTAAAATTGTATTCAAATATTAACTTTGTATTAAAGTCATTAAATCAATCTCCAATCGTCATTTTTTATGGGAATAAACAGATAAAATGCTACTAATTCAGGATTGGTTCAGGTTAGCCAGCCTTAAATATAATTTCATATATTAAGGGCTATTGAGCTCTTAATTTGTTGGCTCTTGATGCACAATATGATATATGGAATAAGTTTGTAGCTGGAATAAAACATTCTTTAATTAAAAAAAAAGAGTATTAAAAACAAGTAATGCACTACCAATTACATTTAGACTGGATATTTTCCTAAATACATCTGTCAGATTTTTTGTATATGTTTTAAAAATGTTATAATGCATGTATAAGATATCAATTGAACTTATCCATTTTCTAAAGGATGGCTTTCTAAATCTTATTTCTAGATCTAGATAAATCATCTAACTTTAAGCTCATAAAGCTAAAAGTTGTATTGACAAAGTCTGGTCACTGTCTGCAACGTACCCATCTGTAGGACAATTATAACAAACATATTCATGCCCTCTTTGTTTTTAGACTGGTTTTAAGTTCAATAATTATTTTCTTTAATTGCTACTTTTGTTGTTGCTACCAGATGTGAAATTTCTACCTGATTTTATTGTTTTTAAACTGTTTAAAATCCTTAGGCCTTCAAATGGACTGAAAAGTTGGGATTAAGAGCATCATCTGGGGAAGGTGTGTCAAAATGTTCAGATAGAGCATGAGTGTCAAACTTGATCACGTCACATGACATATTGTGACGTATTGCAACTATTTTTGCCTTTATGGAGCCGGGGTGGGCATGGCCTGCACTTGACAATCTGGTCTGCTGGCTGCCAGTTTGACACCCCTGAGACAGAGGTCACAGCAGTGCAACCCATTTGTATGTGTGTCAAAACACATGCATGTACGAGGGTGTAGGGTTTGCATCAGTTGCCATGACTGGCCTTTTTTTTTTTTTTTACACTTCCTGAGATATACCACTGGAGAGCATATACGTGTTTTAACATATAAATCAGGCTGCATAACTTAACAACAGCACTTCAGTTTCTTGCTTTTCATTTACAGAAATAGAATACTGTATACAAAATTATTTGCCTACATTCTGTTGTAATGAAATTATACAAAAATGAGGTCAAGCAAAATATTTAGAACGAAATGTTTTTGAAAGAAAGTCCATTGGAATTCCCAGGTAACTATGATAATTTGAACCAAGGAATCAATTCAATTTGTTTATTTGCTTATTTAATACATTTATATGGCTGCCTATTTCATATGCATGATTCTGTGCAGTTAACATGTATGCTGACACCCATTCCTTCTCCCTCCTATGTAGTGTCCCTATACATGTCCCACATCTTCTCTAGGGTCTCTGCAACTCTGCAGATGGGAAGATGGGTAGATGCCATAAACTATTTACCCCGTCAAAAGCATTGATTCTGCTCTGGATAAATATACTTAGAAATACCTTCAAATATTCCAGTAATACAAAATGACAGTAATTTTACTGGCACCATTGTTTTCTAAGTACCCAGTCCT